GCGAATTGGTTTTGAAAGAAATACAAAAAAAAAAAGAATTAAACTTGAGGAAGAAGACGAGACGGGACGGACAAACACAAACGTTTGGAAGTTCGTATTTGTCCGTCCCGTCTCGTTTTCTTCCTCAAGTTTAATTATCCATACCAACCCGCTCGTTCTGTCCTTACAAAAAAGAAACTTCTAGGACAACGATATGAGAACAGCTCACACATAGATTTGGGAGATCTATGAGTAGCAGATTCATTGCACAGCATTATATTGCTGGACACCTTCCCGTTTTGCTTCTTCACAAAGCGCCAGATTACTTCGGGTCACTTGTTCAGGCTAAGCCCCGCCTGCTTACGGCACAGGTATTGTTATTATCGAGAAGCTTCTTTGTTACTTCACGACATTTAATAATATTTTTCGTACCACACGCTCAGTTTAATTTATTTTTGTGAGACCTATGAAAATGTGGTTTTCACCTTATGTAATGTCGTAAGTTTTATGAGAACCTTGCGGTGCATGTCTTTGTACGTTGAAAATACTTGGGAAGAATTATATGCGTTGCCTTATTTATTACTCTTGCGATACCGTCCATCAGGAAATCAGCATCAGAATCATGTGACATGCCATTCGATTTGTTTCTTTTTTCTTTGTAATTTCTAAAAGCAAAGTTTATTCATATCCCAGTGCGTAGGAATGTGATATTACATTTTAAATGATTGAAAACAAGATTGCAAGCGGATGGTGGTAAGCATCAGCAATTTACCAGCGGATCATTTCCGCGAGTCGGTTCTGAGACATAAACGTTACAAACAAAATAAAAAATAAATAAAAAATATTTACCGTGCACTTCGCAAACACGTTCTGTAACGTTAAATTATTGCATTTACATAGTTGAATACACAATAGGCTTTAAACTGCGTGCATGAGGTTTCACTGGTAATGAAATAGAAAGCCTGTAAACTTTAAGTAGATAAACATGTTCGCAAATTTGTTCGCAATATTCAGTAGCATCTAGCTTGTTTAAAAAAATGAAGTGATCTATAGAAAGTGAAGCATCTATAACAGGGGTACGAATTATGGTCCCACAAAAAGAATGAACCCATCAACAGAAGGTGTCCCAATTCTCAGACCAGACCGATTTTGACAATAATTTATATTGATACATCTATATCCGTTTAAATTGCATACAGCTGTCAGTACGACACTGCGGTATTTGATCCAGGAAACACTGTAATGATCTCTGCAAGTAAAAAAAAAGATGTAGAATACTCACCAGTGGCGATACCGCTATGAATTTATGTTTCCGGCAATCTAACAATATCGTTACAACAACACTGCAGATTAGACATAAATTCATCTGTTTTGTTCTAAAAACACGGACATTTTGATAATGCACATGCATATTTCGAGCCGTGAATATCTAGAGGTATCTAGAAAATAGGCAGCTCCCCAAATATGTACAAAAAAAAGAGCCACAATCAGAACTGCTCAGCGCAACCAACGACCCTTCATCATATGCGAAATTAAACGAATTGTGTGTTAGATATCGCGTCTTTAGTCTGGTTTACATCACGTGATTTGTCCCTGAGGACTTTTCTTGCGATAGCTCCGATATTTGATACCGCCGTGACTGGGTCCAGGCGGAGCACATATAAGCCATTTGAAGACGGCGCGCGAGGCGCCACTCTTATGCCGTAAATTGTAGCTTAGGTGAATGAGGCTCGAAGCCTTGGACCACGATCCTGGTTAGAGCGAAGGTGTGTATCATACGTTGCGAGCAGTTTTGGAAGGCTTACCTTTTGTCTGGATGTGCGGAATATGATCTCATCCCACTGGTAGCTTCAGTTATGGGAACGTTACAAGCTTGTCACTGAGCAGGAAGACTGCGGGGAAGGGGGGGGGGGGGGGGGGGGGCGGGAAAGGGCACACAGAGCAACAGCAACGTAGGACGGCGCAGTTGATTTGCGGGAAGACGGATGACGCTTCTTTCTGGGAGAGCCGCGATGGTGTCCATCACAAGTGCTTGGGGAAGTTGGGAAACTTTCACCCGGAGTGCACTGTTGTCTGCCCTTAGAAGTCTACCCTAGGCAGTCAAAATATCAAACCGAGAGGAGAGCCTCACGAGCAGGCGAAGCATTTTCGAAGAAACAGTTGTATGATCCGATTCACCGCTGTCTTCGCGAATGTTGGATTTCGTGTTCCCAGTTGGGGGAGTAGCGCCGAGAGGCCTCGTCACCGAAGATTGGTGCACTCCGAGCATTTCTTGTATTTTTATTTGTTTTTTTAGACTGCATCAATATGTCGTATTCGTCAGCCTGAATATCTAGGCATTTGCAGAGAAACCGGCGAGAACATGCCACAGTGTAAAAATTGTTCTCTGCCTGAGAACTGAGCAGAGCAGTAATCGCACGCGTCCTTCCACCCCACCATGCGTGGATCAGCAACAAGGACTAAGGACTTGTGCGACTGCTGTGGGTTGTTTTTGGACAAAACGTTTCGAGAAAGACTTCGGGGTTACTGCGGCTACTTTTTACCGCGTTATAAAATCTAAAACCTGCTAAGGATTCTTTGATAGAAATGGAACGCACAGTGTATAAGCCATATAGTTACAAAGCTTTCAAACACTGCAAGAATATCACAAAAAAACAGTTTATTCGTGATTGTTGGCACTGAGCTGACGGCGAAGAGGAAAGTAAATATACCAAGGTTTTCATGACGCCAAGCCTAATTGAACGCGATTCGAACAAATTGATTATTGCGCACATTCTATTTTTTTGACAGACGGGAACTGAAGATATGTTTCAGCTTTTGTGTAATGCAGAAACGAAACACGGCTCAGACTGGAAGCCTGATGACACGACATATTCCACGGGGAAAGGTAACTCAGAAAATTGTAAGTATATTTGTACGTGTATTGCCAGTTCATCGAATTGTCATAGTATGTTGCTTGTTTTTAATATTTCTGCGAGGTCATCTAGATAATTCATAGAATATCAACAAGAACGGGGGTTGACACCATAATACAGCGCAGTTCTGAAACAAATCCTTAAACATGTCCAAACCCTTGTTACATTGGTGCTCCTAACTGTTATTAAACCTACGACAGTTGGCTCAATCTCAATTGGCAGGATTTACATGGCGGCACCAACTGTCATTGAGCCGCTAACAATCATTGAGTTAACTGATCGGTGTTCGTTCCAATAGAGCCAAACATGGCGGCGTCGGCCGGATCGCCGCCGATGGCCAGCGCTAACGAAGCCCTTACTATTGCCATTGGGTCTGGAACGCGTCTCCGACTGGCGTGTTTACCGCGTCCAAGAAAGTGGTCCCTCGATTTCTGCCTGATGACGTCATAGACGTGTCATACTCTTGCCAGTCGCGATCCTGGTGACGTATCAATAGCTCTGGTGTATGTGGCAGTCGCCTGTTTTGCTGCAGGGAGCTCTCCAGTGTGGCAGTTCACGGAAGCGAAGTTGGGACGCCGTGACGACAGCGACACTCGCGTTCCCTTGTGCTACTCGCAGCTTGTCTTGAGCATTTCTATGACCAACCGCCAGGATCGGGACATGCATAGCATCACACTTCGGCTTCTGGGACGTTATTTGTTTCCTCCCCGGGACCACTTTTGATATATAGGCAGCACAGGATGCTAACACACCAGTCGAAGACGCGCTCCAGGCAACATACTATTGCGGATGATTGAAGGAGATATCTAGAATGTACGGTAGCCGCAAATATTGTCAGATTATGTATGATACGGGGCCACAGCTACCTCTAGAATGATCAAGGCACGTCGAGGAAGCAGAAGCTTGGCGAGGGCGTCCATTTTGACGTCTTGCCGATAAGACTTTGTTTGTCTTTCTTGGTTAAATTCGTGTGAAACGCTCTGATAATATTTGTATTTACAAAAAAAAAAGTTGTTTATTATGTTTTGTGTTAAACGTTTGTAATGAAGGAAAGGTGTCCATATAAGTCATTTGCTTTACTTTTTAAGAAAAGGTAATCTTACCTCAGTTTTGGTTTCGTTTCGGGTTCAGCTGTGTCCCTTGCGCATCTCAAATGAGGTTGATAGGCCTACGTACCGTGTAACACCGGACAATTTACTTGAGCTCAGTGACAGTTGGGAGATGCCAACGATCGTTCCCTTTATGACAGTTGAGAGCGTTAGTTTAATTAGGTATAAGAAAAGATTATATCGAAGTTCTCTTTATTGCGTAGACTGCCATTGGTAAAACAAAATTTCGGAGCCTTTTCATCAAAGTATCAAAAAGCGCCTTATGCAAAAAAATACTGAGTTACTTCAAAGCGTTGCCACGTCTATTTTTGTTACCTTTTTATTATTTTTGAAGACATCGTGATTGCACAGACGCATATATCGAGGCCGGAGAGCGTTGAGTAAGGTGTTTCACAGTGTCTTGACAAGATATACGTGGGAGCGAACATGCGCAGTTCGCCTTCCGGTATGTTTACCGCGTCCTAGAAAGTGGTCTCTCGACTTATGCCTGAGGATGTCATAGTGAGTATCATGCTGTCCCCGGCCGCGATCCTGGAGGTGTCACAGCAGCTGTGGTGGATATGGCAGACGAATGTTTTTCAGCAGGTCGCTCTCCAGCTTGACACCTTGTTCACGAAAGCTTCTACAGCCAGAAAAGACGACGACAAAGTTAACAGACCCACCGCACTTCAGCTCCTTCAACATTTGGTGTTTTTACGCCCAGCGTTTGGGCTCCTGCCCAAATGTCTTGTAACGGCACTATAACAAAACTAGGCACCGCCAAAAATCTTCAGCAACTTCGCCAGCCTGAAGATATGGACTCCCATCCCACCAACTTCAGGGCCGCCCCTTCCGCTTCGCAAACCCTAACCCCGAACGCGCCGGCTGCTGCTGTTGTGGCTACCAAGGGTGCATCGTATCATAAGGCGCCACTCGTTGCCGTGCGGAGCCCTTTGCGCTCCCTAGTCGGAACTAATTCACCATCCTCTGCGACGACGAACTCATAGGTAACCATGCCATGGCTCTCGGAGCCGTCAAGATGATTCCCGGCGTGCTTCATCGTGAGCCCAGTATGCTCCCGATGTATTTTACTGAAAATGACACCGTGACCAACACCCAAGGGAACAAGTGGCAGACGGCGCTCAACCACAAGGGCAAGCTGCGCCCGGTTCCCGCCATGCCGGAAGGTTTCCCAGCCTCAATCGTGACATTCCCCGCCAAGCCAGCGGACCTCCACGTGAAAAAACGCCTCGTGCCGCTGTTGAAGGGAAGGTTCCCAATTGTTCTGCGTCCGCGCAATAACTTGGACCTTCGCATGGGAAAGCCCTATCGACTGTCTGGTGGAGGAGGTAAGTGACGCAGTACACCTTCAAGCAAACCACAGCCAGAACATTTTGGCGATCCACACAGAGGACGAGACAAAGGTTCATGCGCTCGCCCAAATTCACCAGCTCTTGCTCCGAGGACGAAGCTGCCCATCGTACACATATCTCGAGGCGTTGGACGACTCCGTCAAGGGCGTCATCCACGAGGTGAGACAACGATCCTTCAAAAAGAGCTCACGAGGAATATGCAGACGGAGAATGGGATACCGCTCATCACCGCTCGCATGCTGGGCCAGTCCGGCTCGACACTTATCACCTTCGAGTTCCCGGCTCCCACGTCACGTGGTCTACTAAGGTAGCCGCCAGCGGGTCACCCAGTACGGACCACCCAAGCAGGCATGCACCAAATGCATGAAAGAGGGCACCGCGCGGACGTCTGCCCAACGGCAGGCACCGAGGCGTGCCCCCGCTGCACGTCACCCACCCTTGCACCGGACCACACCTGCCTCCCCGAGTGCGTGCTCTGCGACGGGGACCAACCCACCGGGGACAAGGTCTGCCATCTCCGATACACCAATCGTCGGCCAAGCCAGAAGAGAGCAGGCCGCCGGAGCCACAGCAGAGGCCGTAGCTAGAAAACACCTAAGAACAAATCGTCAGCAGAGGTTGAAATATCCGCGAGCTGCGGCAGGAGCCGCGCGCCACGTCGCCGCAGCCGTGGCAAGATTAGGAGCCGTATCCGGACCACCGAGCGAGTGTGCTGGGCATCGATGCTGAAGGGCCACCGCTCTCCGTCGAAGACTCCTCGCCTTCGCCCACCCAACCCTACCGAATTCCGCGACTGTGCGAAGGCTTGCGTGAGCTTTATGAGCCAGATGAAAGCGCGATGTCGCGTATGACCAACCGCATTGACAAACTAGAGCAGAAATCCAACCCTCCTCCCCCACAAGAGCCTAGGGCTCCCGCGCCGCCTCTCCCTCAACCAGCCCGAAGACGCGCAGCAGACTATCGCGCGTTAGCAGGAGCTTAACACCCAACGGCAACAAACCATAACTCGACTACAGGAGACGATTACGCGTCAGGAAGAGGCGATTGCCCGACTGCAGGAGACGCCAAATGTGCCGCAGAGCGAAACAGAGGTGGCCAAGGGAGCCAGGAGGGCGGGGTTACTTCCTCAGCCGTGCGTAATCCCGAACGCGCCGCAGAAGCCGCCGTTCTCCATTCAGCCAGCCACTCCAAGCCTGCACCCCGCCGCCCCGGCCTATGCCGTTCACGATGGCAGGACGAGAAAGAGCCACGCTAGTCTGGCAGTGTAACTGTCGCAGCTTTCGCGGTAAAGACGGCGATCTTGAGCAGTTCATTGCCAGCAGGGACTTTCCCACCGACGTGATATGCCTACAGAAAACCGGTAGAGACCTACCATCGCTTTCGGGTTATCAAGTAGTCACGCACTCACACGCAAACCCAAGAAGAGCCACGCTAGTCGAGATGCGGATCACGGTGAAAGACGAGTTTAACAGCTCGTCTGTGGTGCACGCGATCGTGAAGCTCCTCCTCAAAAAGCGAAATGCATCTAACCTCTACATTCTCAACATATATAGCCAGCCCAGCCGCACAAAGGACTTATTTGAGCGCCTCTTTGCACTCCCGATTCACCTAGCCAAGCTGAACCTTCTAGTGTTAGGTGACTTCAACGCCGCGTACCCGTCGTGGGGGTAGAGGCAGGCGACCACAAAAGGAGCCAAGCTGCACGAGGCGATTTGCCAACACCAGTTCATCCTTCTGACCGGCAAAAGACTCTTGACGCGCACGGGAATAGCGAAAATAGGGACACGAGGAACCACCGAACGCTAGTCAAATTCACCGGAACCGAATGAATCAACACAGGCGAGAGCCTAGGCAGGGACCATTCCATCACCGAGGTTCAGGTCACCATTACTTTTCAGGACAAGTTTGTTAGGAAGAAAGCGCTAAGCGACTGGGGGACGTGTTCCGCGGGTTGCGCCCGAAGGAGCCGTGCTCTCAAGCGACCTACAGCAATGAGTAAGAGAACTGCAGACTGACGTAGAGAAGAAGCACACCAGACATACGAATCTCACCAACGACAGGCCAGATGTATACTTCCGTCTCCTACACCTGTGGGTCGCCAGGCGTGGCCTCCTCAAGTGGTGGAAAAGCCAGCGATTCATCCGCAAGCTCAAGAGTCGCATCGCCAAGCTGGAGAGGGAAATGCTTGAGTACGCATCCCAGCTGTCACGCTTCAACTAGCATCAGACGTGCAACATGCTCCAGGGAACACTGGGCAGCCTGGACAACCTCTGCCCCATATCCCTGACGTCGTGTCTGGGCAAGTTGCTGCAGCACGTGGTCACCGACCGACTTCAGCGCTTTCTGGAAGACACGGGCGTCTTTCCCAGCAACATGTTGGGGTTACGGTCACACCTATCGACGGAATATGTCCTGCTCGAAATCAAACAGGACATCCTCGAGAGAATCTCCCGTACGACGACGCAGGCGGTCCTGGCCTTGGAGATCAAAGGCGCCTTTGACAATGTCAGCCACACGGTGGTGCTAGAGAACCTGGCGTCGACTGGGTGCGGGCCCCGAATGTACGACTACGTGCGGGACTTCCTGAGTGACCGCACGGCCACCATCGGTGTCGAGTCCATCCGCACGGGCCCCATCCCGGTGCCTAGCAATAGCACCCCGCAGGGCTTGGTCCTGTAACGCACCTTGCTCAACATGGCGTTGCGCAAGCTACTTCCTCTACTGGAACAGATTCCCCCAGATCAAGCACTCCCTCTTTGCAGACGACCTCACGATTTGGACTACGTCGGGATAGGAAGGCGAGAAGCAAGACTCTATCGAAGAGGCAATATAGACTTTGCGGATCTACCTCAAGGCCGGCAACCTTCAGTGCGCCCCCCAGAAGTCTAAGCTGTTGCTCTTCCGCGTAGGAAAGCCAACCCTGAAGAACAATGAGGCGGACATCCGCTTAACCTTCAAGGACGGTACCCCTTGCCGGTGGTGGAGCGGATCCGGATCCTGGGCCTTTGCTTCCGGCGGGATGGCGGAGCCAAGTACACGGTCGACCGACTCGTCGAGAAAACCAAGCAAGTCATGCGCTTGATGAGCAGAATCATGAGTCGCACACACGGGCTCAAGGAGTCGGACCTGATCCGGTTGACCAAAGCTCTCGTCGTGAGCCTCATCACCTACGCAACTCCGTTTCTCAACCTGTTGTCGAAAAGTAAGGGCAAGATGGACGTGATTATCCGCACGGCGTACAAGGTGGCACTGGGGGTGCCGTCGTACGTGGCGAACGCCAAACTCCTGCGGCTGGGCGTGAACAACACCTTCCAGGAACTCGTCGACGCGCACCTAGTCAGTCAGCGGCAGCGCTTGGCCCTCACCCTCAGTGGGCAACACATTCCAAGCTCGCTCGGTATCCCCATGCCCGCATCGCAACGCGAGACGATCCAGCTGCCGCTGGCTCTGAGGGACAAAATCCAGGTGTCACCGATCCCGGGGAACATAAAACCATCTTTGAACACAAGTTGTCAGACGATTCGGGCGAAGGCTCTGTGACGGAATTATGGTAACCTGGACGACGTTTCCTACACGGACGTTCCACACTACTCCGGCCAAGCCGCTGCGGCGGTGAGGTTTATCAACAGCGACAGCGACTTCGACAACGTAGTCGCGGCCTCCGTCTGCACCATCCAATCGGTGGTGGCAGAGGATGTCTTGATCGCCCTTTCCATTGTCTCTCACACAAATATATACCAAGTGTCCATCCTTTCCGACTCGGAAGCGGCCACTAGGCGGTTTGGCGAAGAGAGAGTCGCCCCACAGGCCTTTTGCATCCAGAGGGAGAATTCGAAGATTCCCAACGTGGAACTGGTCTTGACTCCCGGCCACGAGTTTCTCGAAGGAAACCGGCAAGCATACGCCGTAGCCCCAGCCTCCATCCTCCGGGCTGCGACACGCGAAGACAGACCTCTCCCATTCCTGAACCAATGCTCTGACAAACTCGCACGCCTCCGCGGTCAGAGGCAGTTCTTCTCTCCGGCCGACCGATCCCTGTCTCGAGAGGAGACCGCAGCTTGGCGTCAGATACAGACAGCCACATAAACACACTTAGCTAATCTAGATAGATTTTACCTGGGCAGATACCGGGATGAATGCCCGCACTGCGCAGATGTTCTGTCGCTTTTCCACGTTACGTGGGCCTGTCAACTCAACCCTTCCCTCCCGTCTCTCCCTTGCATCCCCGACCACTGGCACGAGACCTGGGAAAGTGCGCTGATCGTCTCGCCGGCTCACGATCAGCGACAGCTGCTGGAGCAGGAAAGATTCGCGGCGGATAAATGGTTTATCCTCGTCCTCTGCAGCCGGGACTTGGGACGCAGAGAGGACAGCAACACTCGCGTTCTGTCATGTCTTTTCCCAGAGCTAAGCCCAACCGGCAAAATCGCAAAAGTTTGACACTCCGGATTTTGTGACGCCATCTGTTTGCCACTTAGGGACCATTTTCGATAGATGCGCTAAACACAGCAGTCGGAGACACCTTCCTGTCACCGTAGTTTGCTGGCGGTCAGGTTCCTAGCAAGTGGACAAATCTGCTACTCCTGTGCCCGTACTAAGGCACATTTCAAACAACTAAGAATTAAAAAAAAAAAAACGTGTTGAAACGCTTGTATGTTTGGCGAATCTCGCTGGCACCTTTGACTGGTCAATAGCATCGTGGAGACAGTTCTGGTCACTCCGAATCAGCTTCGCTTGTTCTGTACATCAAGAAAGCAAAGAAAATACTGATATCGTGTTTTCGTTTTAGTGCAAATTTGTATTCTTACCAAAGTGGATTTTGATGGAGCCATGAAATGTGAAGCGTGCCACGGTCAAAGAGAGTTGGCCTAGTCGGCCGGCTGACAAACACGTGCGCCCTTGAGCTCCGCATGGGATACAGCGCAATTGTGAACGATAACCAAAACGATAGCAAAGAATAAAAAAAAGACAGCTGCAAAAGCTTGAAAAAAAAAAGAAGAAACGTGGCGACGCTGAATAATGCAGCTCCCCCCCCCCCCCCCCAACCCCAAAACGTACGACATTACTGGTGATTCCAAGGAGCGCCTCCAATATTCCTTTCACCCTTAAGCTGAGGCTGCATCCAATGCCACAAGAACGAGAGTACTCGAGGTCGCTGCTTTTGAAGCGTTCTTGCCGCAGAACGAGCGCTTGCGCAGAAAAGGCACGTCTGAAGGCCAGAAGCGCGGACCATAGCCGCGCTTTTAGCTTGCGTCGCCGCCAGCGCGCCTTGCAGCGTCTTGCATTGGGGGAAGGGGGGGGGGGGGGTGTGCTAGCAGGTGGCCAGGCCAAAACGGACGCTTGTTTTCCTTTGCGTAGTACTCTCGCCAAGCCCCGGGGCGTTTGCCGCTTGAGGAGGGTCAGTCGGGGTCCACCGACACTGACTCCATTCGCAGGCCCAGTCTTCTAGTTGGTATCGCACCGTGACAAGTTGTCACGTGCCTGGAAGGCTGAGACCTTGAGTTCACGTCCGCTGCGATACCCATAAATCGCGTGATTCTGCATTTAAGAGTCTGTTGTTGTCGGATCGAAATACAACTGCAACGTTGTTTTTGTTTCGTGCCTTCTTTTTTATGGGATTGACTGAGCGGCCTGCACTTGACCAGTTCTTTTTTTGCATGGTTGAAACCTCATTCGAGAGACGCCTCATTGAAATATTCATTGATATTACATTTCTTCTCAGCGGACACAACGCGTACTGAACGGACCATCACACCATTTGAAACAGCAGCCAATGTAGAAGTCTTCGTCATTGCCGGGTGAGTTTAAGCACGAATTAATCATAGAGGACACGAAAAGAGCTCAGAAATTTTGAATCTCTACTCCTAACAATATATTGCTGTGACGTTGTATCAGTGAAAAAAAAATTGATGATATAAAACCGTTATTTGGACAACAAATGTGTGTCGAGGAGATCGGGCAAAATGCTGTAACAAGAAGCATGGCTGACACCGGTACGCGTTTTTGTAAACGGTGGGCGATACGAGGCACCGCAACGCCGCTCTCGCCGTATTGTTCCTTGAAGAGGACTCAACGTCGTCACGGATAGCAACACACGATTACGGTGCCGGTTAGCAGCGAGCGTTGAGGGCGTATTACTTGGGCGCGGGGTAACCTACTCATCCCCCCTTCTTTCCCCGTTCGCACCGCTTCACAGCAACAGTCTGCGGCGGCTCCTTCACGCGCTCCAGCGATACACACGCGCAAGGCCTGCCGGACAGAGCAGCAAGCCCCCCTGTCAGTATGTGTGATGACGCAGCGTCCTCTTCGAGGAGCAGCCAATCCTGCGCTAGTGGCGTTGCGACGCCGAGTATCGCCCACAGCTTACTAAAAGGCGTCCGGTACCCGTGCGCCTACAGGAAACAATGCGGCAATAAAAATGATTTACCCCTATTCACATAAAATTATGCCAACACTTTTTTTTAAAGTTAAACTATGAACATAAATGCCTTTCATAGGGAAGTCGTTAAGGATTGTAGGCAAGTTATGAACCTGGGATAGAAGTTGATTACTGATAATCACCCAACTGACTTCGCGAATAATGCGTGCGCAGGCGACCTGGTGCATTTTGAAAGTAACTAAAAGTTATATCATGCGGAGTAGGAACACAGACACATATGTACCCACGTACGTTCCCACACACGCACGTGCGCGCTCACACCCGCGTGGTAATAAATCATTTTTTATTAGTTTCTTTCCTAGTATTGAACTATACCTCCAATCTGGCTGCTCCAGCAGCAATCTCTTTACTCCGTTTGGCCTTAAGCTGAGACTAGAAGCTCCGCCTTTAGCACATTCTCACTGGCTTCCGCAATGCTTTGGTTGCCCGTGCCTGCGCGTTCACATTTGTGTTAGCAAGAGCAGAAAGCTGGCGCTGAAGGCGGAGCTTCTAGTCTCAGATTGAGGGTGAACGGAGTATGGGCTTGACTGCTATGTTTTCTAGCGTCGATGGAGTTTCACCATCGACGGGGAAAAGTTAAGCTAGTTGGTGGTACCGTCCACCATCCGCCGTCCACCGTCCACGTGGATTAATGCCCTTCGAGTCAATCAATCAGTCAATAAATAAATAAATAAATAAATAAATAATCAATCAATCAATCAATCAATTAATCAACCAACCAACCAACTTTTCAAGTCAAATCCAGTACAGATAAACTTGACTGGTCTGCAGGCACAAGAGGCCAACAAGTTGCCTGACGAGGTTGAAGTGGCGGGTAAGGGTCACAGGGTCCAGCGGCAAAGAAAAAAAACGCAAACCTCCCATATTAAAAAAAAACAAAAAACCTTCATGCAAAAACAGTACAGTTTCTAGAAGCGTTAACACCAAGAAGCACGACAAAGGGCATAGATTGCCATTTTCAAACAAAAATAGATACTGGAAAGATAGACGATGCGTGGGTGTCCTGTACAGTACTATTTTTTAAATAGAATACAGAAGGATTAAAAGAAGTATAAGGAATGTATTTTACATTCGTCAATTAATATTTGTGGCATTGCCTTTATTGTCTGTGAAGCCTGGTTGCCCGAGTGGTGCCAGCATGGTGTCCATTAAACAAAGCTTTTGTTGCAGGCTTGAAACGGTGAGTTCGGCAGTCTCGTTCACCGCTCACCTTTTGGCAAAGCATCAAGACGTCCAAGAAAAAGTGAGGGCTGAAGTAAAATTGCTCCTGGAAAATGATGTAAGTCTGGTTGATAAATGGTTGAACAAAAAATATCGAGGTTTTTAAAAGCTAAATTTGGAGTCACATTAGTAGACCACGTTTAAACTATTAACCCACATTACAAGTCACAAGAAAAATTTTTTTCGCGAACTTATTGAAGTTATAATTTTAATCTAAAATGCTGAGAGGTTCGACTTGTAAAATGTGTAAACGTGTTGGTAAAACAAAAATTGAAGAGATAGGGAAGAGCACTCGGAGGAGCTTCTAGAGGACTCCCTTACAAAAAAATTATATCTGGCCAGATCTGAAGATTTCAGACATGGTCATATAAAAAATTGGCCACATATGACCTGATATGGTATATCTGCCAGATATATCCTCATAATGCCAGGCATTTCCAGATCTGGCCAGGCATTTCAAAAGGACACAAGCCTGAAATCAGCACTTTATATATTTTTATTGTCTACAATTCTCCCAAGTGCCCCGGCCCGCACTCGAGGAGTTATGGAAACGGTGATCCTTCAGCTCTTTAGTGATCGCTAGTTTTGACCAATCCCATGGTTTCCCAGTTTCAAGTGTAATTCGTAGTCACCCTAAACAAGCGTCCCATAGCGCTCAAGTACCTGCCATATCACTTTTAAATTTTCTCGTAAATGTGAGTGTTTATGACACCGTGCATTCTGTCCAACCTTCAACCAAGCTGAGCCGCCGAAATCTCTTACCATATTATCATTCTCGTGATTGTTGTTTTAGCAGGAATTACTTAAAAGCCGAGGACTCACAACAACAAAATCCGGGATTTAGCTCGGAGTCAGCGGAGCTGTTTATGACATTTTCAGCGTTTCTAACTTAATATCAGCGTCTTTGAAGCTGCACGAGAATGATAATAATGTAAGAGATATATCTGCTGCTAATCCAGGTTCAAGGTTGGACGGAATGCACAGTACTGACATTGGCGGGACATTTTTAAAGTGGTATGGCAGGTATTTGGGTTCTGCACGGCACGTGTTCAGGGTGACTCTGAATTACACTCAAATCTGTGTAACCATAAAATTGCTCGAAATTTTCGATCACTAGGCAGCTGAAGAAACACCGTCCCCATGATTCCTCGAGTACGGGCCGAGACGCTTGGGTGATTTAGCAAATTGTCTATTCGGGCGTAATGTTAACACTTTAAAATAATTAATCTACATTAAAATCCTCGTGAAAACTAACACACATATTCTCATACTTAAGCTTGTCAAAACTGAAGTTTGGGATTATTTGTTATAATATTTAGCTCGCGAACAATGAGTCATTGAGAGTTTGCTAAGAAAGAATTTTTTTTAACTTTTTAAACTTTTAAATATATTGAAAACCGGCAACCAGATAAGTCTGTATATACGCTAGATAACTCTGTATATACGACATATCACGCTCTCTATATGCCAGATAGGTCTGTATATACGCCAGATCAGTCTGTATATATGCCATATCAGGCTGTAAATACGCCAGATAAGTCTGTATAAACGCCAGATAAGGCTTTATATAGACCGTATATAATCACATCATGTTTGATATGGTGAGATATGGCCCAGATATAAGATTTCCATACGGGCTTGGAAAGTTTCGAAAGCTTTGAATAGAGCAAGAAATAAAGGAACAATACAGAAGGAGGACTTTTGGGACTCTAGACTCGGCATCGCATGCCGGGAAGGCTGAGATATGAGTTAGCGTCCGCTTTTTCCTCATAAAATGTAATTCTACATATGACAGTTTTACAGGTACATTAATATACAACTGCAAATTCCTAATAGTATTAGTAAAAAGTCAAACACTGCAATAGACACTGCGCCTGCTTGTTCGATACGGATGCATATAAAATCTCACACGCGATGGTCCGAAGATTTTTCTTGCCCTTTCTAGTGTACAGACCCAAAAGAGCCGTATGCTCACTCTGCTCCAACTGAGCGCACTAGCCGTTTTCACCACCCTCCCCACCAAGGAGCTCTTTCAACAATACATGTCCACCGTATTCTGTGTTGAGCAGGGTAGGAAGTGAAGTCTGGGTGTTTCAGGGTTTTCAGGATGTTCCTCAAGTCATTTAATGCCTTCTTAAATGTTTTAGCATTGTCGCAGAATATCGTGCTGGGTACTCCTCTGCGCGAAATGAAACGCCGAAATGCCAAAAGAAAGGCGTCAGTTGAAAGATTAGTTGATAATTCCAGATGAACCGCTCTCGTTGCGGCACAAGTGAACAAGGCTGTGTAAGTCTTAGCATCGTTCATCTTACCGTTCCTGCTTTTGGCCTAGAGTGGTCCTGAAAAATCCAATCCCGTTACCTCGAAAGGTTTTGTTTCGTTAATTCTATCGGCCGGAAGTGGAGCGAATCGCACCTGAGTTGGTTTCGTACTGAAGCTGCGGCACTTACGACATGTACGAATTATCTTCTTGGTTAACTGTCGTGCTCGAAGTATCCATAATCGTTGTCTCAAAGCAGTCATCGTACTATTCACACCTTCATGAAGCAACTGGTTATGAGCATTCAGGAAAATCAGTTCTGTAAAATGCTTGTCGTTCGGCAGAATGATAGGATATTTCACTGCATTTCGAGCGTGCAGCTCATGTAGCCTTCCTGTTACCCTGAGTGTACGATATTCGTTCAGAAAGGGGTGAAGACCAGCCAGGGGTGAGCTTTCTTCCACTTGATGGTCTCTGGTAAGTAAGCTGACTTCCCTTTCGAAGGCTTCGTTTTGAACTTGCCTTATCCAATATTGCTCCGCCGCGGCATAATCAGCAGCTTTCAAGTGTCCTTCTTTTCTTTCACGATATTCGCTCCTGCAATTGCTGACAAACCTGATAACCCAGGCTGTGACTTGAAGCAATCTAGACAGGCTACTGTACTTCGTCATATAAAGGATTGCCATCGCTTCAGGAATTGTTGTTTGAAGGTATACTTTGGTGATGCAATGCTCGTTGCTTTTGAGTTCCAAGTGAGTATCTGAAGTAGGTAGGTCTTTTGGCCATTCAACTGGGTCTTGAACAAGCCAACTGGGTCCTTTTCACCGCAATGAGCTATCCCGCAGCGTTGCTGCTGATTCTTCTGTCGTGAGCGGGTCCACAGGGTTACAGTTCCCAGGGCAGTGCCTCCAGTTTTCGGAAGCACTTTGTGATTGGATTTATAGTAAGCGATGTTTTACGAAAGGCTTCCATCTGTCTACTGAGCCCTAAATCCAATTAAGTACCACAGTGGAATCCGTCCACATGGTATATTGAAAAGGAATTTCAGGGTACGTCTTGCGCAGGTAGTCTAGGAGTCTCGTTCCAACAGCAACTCCCATCAGTTCCAGACGCAGTAACGTTAATGTTTTGATCGGCGCAACCCTTGATTTAGCTGTCACTAGAGCCGTTGAAACGTCTCCGCTTTCAGCTGCGATTCGCATGTAAGCACATGCTCCATAGGCTTGTGCATTTGCGTCGACAAAGATGTGCAGCTGTGTATCTAAGAATTCTGTCAACCCATTCTTGAGGTGGGTTGGAACTAAAATATTGTAAAGCTGAAACAGCTCAGCACACCATTCTTACCAGCCTCCTCTCTGGCGTTCCGGAAGCTCTTCACGCCATTTTAATTTAAGCCTCCAGAAACTCTGGAATAGAATCTTTGCTCGTATCGTGAATTGTTTAATTAATCCCATTGGATCGAAGACTCGTGACGCTGCTTGTAGCACATACCGTTTAGTGTCTCGTTTGTTTTTTGTAGAAATGAGATAAGGATATCCACTGAGAACTTGAAGCAATCGTTGGCCTTGTCCCAGGCCATCCCCAATACTTTTTAGATCTTCGAGAATCTTTTGTCAGTGTCTTACTGCTATCACGTCTGTCTCTCTTTCATCCATAATTCGCTGCAGTTCTGCATCGTTAGAAGACCATTTTGTTAGCTTCATGCCTGCATCGTTCATGATGATCTTAGAGGTTTTGTAGATTTCGGTTGCTTCTTCCACTGTATCTGCACCCACAAGAAGATCGTCCACGTAGAATGAGCTCTGTAATATTTTTGCAATGCTCTCTTGATCTCTAGTGACGTTCAGATGGTGCTGTATAGTTGCAGAGAGCACAAACGGACTCGACGTCGCTCCAAAAGGAACTCTTGTCATCCGTCATTCCTGAATGTTCTTAAATTTCATCTGGGAAAGGAGCTCGCCTTCAAACCACAGGAACCTGAATGCGTTGCGACCTTCCTTTTTAATTTCGATTTGGAGAAACGCTTTCTCGATGTCGGCAGTTAGTACAATCGCATGCTCTCTAAAGCGAAGAAGGATTTGAAGTATTTCTAGATTCAGGTTACGACCTCTTTCGAGGAAGTGATTAAGCGGTTAGCACCCTTTTTCTTGAGATGAAGCGTCCAATACCACCCTCAACTTCGTAGTAACAGACTCTTCTTTGAGGATCTCCCGATGCGGCATGTAATATGTTCGTGTCTCAGCTTGATCGTGCTGGCTGAGCGGTACTAGTTCCGCATGTCCCAAGTTCATATACTGGCGGATTGCCTCGTCATAACGCCGAAGTAGATCGTCCTTGATCGAAATTCGTTTGATCAGGCAATGTAGACGAGTCAGAGCTATCTCAGGATTATCTTTAAACACCTCCACACAGTCTTCTTTCCAGGGCAATGCTACTTGGTACCTTTCACCAACGTTGACAATGCTCTTATCAAAGCGCACTGCTACACTCTGTTGAGTGTTAGATGTCTCCACGTGTCTGATTCCCATGCTGCCAAGTTTTTAAAAAGCATTAAGTGTTTGGGTCTCTGTTTCCTCGTCGGTCATGGTTTGTGAGCTGAGGACGCTAATAATCAGGGTCGTTTTTAATAGTATTCCCTTCTGTATCAAGGGTCCTTGGGGAGTTCATCCCATCGCAGTGTTTAGGGCCACCAATCCACTGCTTTCACCTGTTACAAGCTTCCATAATTGATCTGATCCGATGAGAACCCTTATTCCAGGCGTTCCTTGTACGTCAGAAAATACTATGTCATCAGCTAG